ACGTAAATGCCTGGTGTTCATCTTTTTCAATTCCAATTCCATGAAGATAACAATAGCCAACTAGAAGCATTCCATCACCCGTCACAGCCCGAATTAAGCTTAACTCAGGCTGTAAATCAAAATTATCACCCCCGGGGCGCACTATTTCACTAACTATTCACGCTTACAAGGTAATAGTTTTATTTTTTATCTTTGTTGAGATAACCAACGATACATTATTTAATTTATGCAGTTCTCATAAATAACCCTTAAATTATACCGACTATACCTCTTTAATTTAAGCAGTCGAAAGCATATACATATTAAATTACTTTAAAGAACTTTTGAAATTTTTTATTACAAGAACCGTGAGTTCTGTATAAAAGTGTCAAGTATTATTTACAGTATATAGATATGCTGCTACATTTTCAAATTAGGGATTAAATACTAATTTGAATGTTTAGATTTCTACAAATATCTTAAAATTTAACGTTAAACGCTTAATTTTTTTATTTTTATCAGGGCTATAACATATGAAATAATAATTAATCTAATGTATAATTATCAAATTATGAAATTTATTAAAATGTATTTTAACGCTTCAATTTTTTTTGGTTTGACATATTGTACAGCGAAATCTTGCATATTATATGAAGGGGTGTATAATGGCGAATATGAAGGTAATGTGGAGGATCAAATATTTTTGATTCAATGATTGGAATCGAATGACTTAGAATACTCATTCTCTTTGAGAGAATCGAATGGTATAAAATCGTTCTATTCCAATCACTGGATCATGAAATATAGATCCACCACATTACCTCTATAACCTTAAATATATCAATGTTTATGCGTTGTCCAGCTAATTAGCACTATATTGCCAAGATTTCATCAAATGAACATAGAATGACCCATCAGGTTACAAAAAGATTCATTTATACCAATCAGGGTTGGTCAAATCAGCGGTCGACCAAAAATTTGCTGGTCGATGGTCAAAGGGTCTTTGGTTAAACTGGTCTGGTCAAATTGGTCTGGTCTATTAATTAACTAGTTTTGTTATATATATAATAATATACATATCAGATATAATAATACGTATTATTGACCAATTTGACTAAAAGCTTGACCATTGACCGGTTCATACCAACGGGTTTGTCCAGGTCGCTATTTCTCGGCCCGTGTAATAGCCATATAACTGTTTAAAACCGATCCATATTATTCTTAATTCACAGACAAGCTTGTTTCACAGACAACCATTTCATAGACAAGTTCATTTCGTAGACAATTTGTTTCACAGACAAGTTTATTTCTTATAAATTTCTTTAACCCCAAATTAACCCTACAATAATGTTGGTGAAACAAGTTGTCTACGAAATGAAATTGATTATCTGTGAAATAAGCTTGTCGATGAATTAATTGTCTGTGAACTAGGATGTCTGTGAAGTGAAGTAAGCGGAACCGGTTTAAAAACCACCCATTATTTATAAAAATTTTAAAAAAAATATATTTAATGCTTATGCTTACAAACTATGAACTAAAGAGGTTTTAAGCAATATTTCAATGACAAAAAACTTTAAGCTAGGATCACCTACACTATAAGTGGCCCACTAATGAAATATATTACGATCAATATTATAGGGTAAAGTCAGCTATACTGGATGAAATCCAAGAAAAAAATTTATAATCCAATATCGATCTTTTGGGGCCTAAGTTGTAATTAATGGATTCATGAAGTAATGTGACGATAGGATTATAATAATTTTTTTAAAACAAGTGTTTAGGATGTCTATTTAAAGGTTGACTTTTAAAATGTTAAATAATTGTCTAGAATATATGATTATCTTCTTGGGTTGACATTTTTAGGTTAAGAACGTTTGACAGAATACAAAATTAATAAAATATAATAGATTTAAATATACACGTGTATCTCATAATTACCAATGCAATTTCTTTAAAAATATTTTTTTGTTGTTGCATAAAATTCTGTCACCACTTAAGCTTTTGTATACATCGCATGATGTGTTTATTCTTTACAAATAAAATCGACCAGTCAAATTTGAAAAAAATCGACCGACTATGTCTAAAAATAGGCTTAGATCATTATATGACCTGTAAGAGGATGCGGCTTATCGATTTCGTGTTTCTTCCAATCTTTTAACTATGAATAAGCTAGTATCCAAGAACCTTTCAACGCAATTCATCAAGCAAGTCTCTTCTCCGCGATCAATCTTGTTGCTAACCTTGGAGATACATTTATCCCAGCAGAGATCAGTAAAAGTGTGGATCGATTGCTGAAGACGCATTTTAGCATTCTCTCCTTCAAGAAATTTTGCAAGTTCTTTTTGGGAAGCTTCGTCAAATTCGGGTTTACCACTGGACATTTTTCGATGTGAGAAAAAAAAACAAGATTGATAAAAGCAGTGATCTACAATATAAAAAAAAAAAGTGGGTTACTTAGCGTTATTTTTGGTTCGAGTAATACAAATCCTAAAAAGGGTTGGCTAAAGCGGAGATAATCGACCAATCAAAAATTGTGAAAATTTGGCTAACCCAGATCAGCCCGACGAAGCGAAAAAATACAGGATCGGATCATTAATAAAAATGTCGGGGAGGCAATTTTACTTACGAATATGCATTTCTTAATCTTACTTGAAAATGACCTAACGCTAACCTAATGTTAAATAAACGTTAAATTAGATGATTTTTAAAAAAATCACACTACGTATAAACTTATATATCGATATAGATTTTCTTATTATTAAAAACATCTGCAAATAAAAAAATTGCCGTAGCCGCATAAATATAACATCTTTGCGCACAATTACAAAAAAGTAGCTGTGTACTTTATACGTAGTAAAAATCGGCGGGTATTTACTAATTGCCTTATCAGTTATACGTATAGTAAGTGGAATGCCAAAGTTTTTTGCAATAGTAAAAATCATATAGTAAAAAAAAATAAAAATACTAATATCTCGGGATCTAGTGAGCCGATTTTGATGATTTTATTACCATTAGAATCAGAAAACATAGTTCTACAACTTTTATTAGAAGCCAAAAGAAGATTAACTTAATAAAAAAAAAATAATACTTTTATATGTAAGCTAGCCCCATTTTTGTACTATAGAAAGTTTATACGTATTAAATTCCGATTTTGTTTATTATAAGATTTGGTATTTTTTTTAACCCTTCAACTACGATTTACCCCTTAATAATTTTTGTATTATGAAAGCTAAAATATATTAACAGAGTAAATGTACAGTACTATACGTATTAATTATAAAAATTGCTATCGCTATCGCTATATACAATTTATCGTGTATATTTTTTTTTGATACTTAAATTTATATAATTTATAAATCCAACCATAAATCCTATTCATTCATTGTTCATTTGTTGGCAATTGACCATCAGAGCAAAACGACGGATTAGCGATATCTATTGTAATGAACGTTTGATTCTCGATCACGTTAAAAAAACAAGTTGAAGATGGATTTATTATATTCTAATTTAAAGATTTTTTTATTATAATTATATCTGAATTCAAAGATTTATTATCACAATAACAAAGTTAATTAAACTTTTTTATTACGTCAATCATAGCTTTAATCATATTTTAGAATTTAATAATATATACAAAATTAATTACCAATATATTGCAATTTTAGCAATTGTCATAAATAAAATATATTTGCATTGAAAACATTTTGTTTATTGAAATTATATCTTTAGTTTTAGTAATGTAATTTTTCAAGTGATAAAGAATTATCTTTACAGAAGTTTGCTATTATCATTGTATCAAATATATATATATGTGAACCACATTATAGTGAAAAAATACAAATACTGTATCAAATATTCGAAGTTACAATTATATATAAAATACAGTAATTTAATAATTCTGAGTTCGCCCAAATTTCAAACTCACCTTAACTCAGTAATGTGGTTGATCTCATACACTTTGTTTCTGATATTCAAAATTACTATCAAACAGCCGTAATTCAGCATACAACGGATTGGAGGAATTGGGCCTTTATCTAAATACCATATAAATTTGACCTTTTATTTAGAGAGATATATATATCATAAATATGTGCGTAATTGAGCGCTAGCATGATTGTAATACAGACCAAATACGTAGATTTCGAATATAGACATACGTATTGTAAAACCAAGGTGCAGCCCAATTATTTTATTTACATGAGCAGGCAGCAAATTTATATAAAAAACAAATATCGATACTATTTAAATCAACTTTTTTTTTCGCAAAAATGTCAGACAAAGAGATTAATAAAATCATTAGCAATTTAGGACAATTGAGTTTTACCGATTATGAAAAATTAGCGGAAAAGGAAGATTCTAAGGGAATATTCATGCTTGGTTATTACTATGAAAATGGAATTGAAGTCGAAAAGGATGTGAATAAGGCATTCACATACTATCAAAAATCTGCTGAATTAAATAATACTTATGGGATGTATCAAGTTGGTCAATGTTATCATCACGGAATTGGGGTTGAAAAGGACGAACTCCAAGCATTTAATTGGTATAAAAAATCTGCAAGTGCAGGAAATTCTAACGGAATGTATCAAGTCGGCCAATATTATTTTAGTGGAACTGGAGTTGAAAAAAATGAACTCGAAGCATTTACTTGGTATGAAAAATCTGCAAATGAGGGAAATTCTAACGGAATGTACCAAGTTGGCGTTTGTTATTATTTAGGAATCGGAGTTAAAACTGATAAACAAAAAGCACTTGAATACTACAAAAATTCTGCTAAGGTAGGCAATTCAAAAGGATTCTCGAAAACAGTCATTTTATCTGATGAAATGGGACGTGCTGATGGAATGCTTCTAGTTGGCTATTGTTATCTTCATGGAATTGGAATTGAAAAAGATGAACACCAGGCATTTACGT